AAGAATTTACGTCAGAAAACAATGATAAAGCAATACCTGATGTTCTAGATATCGAGTCAAGGTTAAAACCTTCGATTTATGGATGGATGCGTTACTTACGTCGATTACCAAAAGCCAATGTATTTGGTGACATCCCGAAGGCTCAAGAAAAATTTATAAGAAAACTCGATATTCTCGGAAGAGTTGCTGGTGGAACAGACGAAAGTGTAGATCCTGATTGTTTTGAGGAAAACAATATTAATGGTGATAAGGAATGTAGTGAAAAAATAAATGAGACTAAAAATAGGGCCATAAGAGCGTGGAACGTTCTGAAAGGAATGTAAATTTATCTATCATCTATTTCAATTATATCAATTATTATATCATTTTATATATATACGTGACAGAAATTCTCACGTGAGTTTTGTCCAAGTAGATCTTGAATTCTGAAATCCGAAATTTCCGTAAGAGCTTAGGTCACATATATAATTTAAATATTTCAATTTGTTAATTTTGGTAAATTATGTCATTAATCCAAGTTATTTGTGTATAGTCATTTTTGATATTTTTTTTTATTTAATTATTTACAAATGTTAATAAAAACAATTATTTTAGAAGCAATGGAAATTTCTCAATTATCAATTTTACACCTTTATTATTATGTTAATTCTATAGAAAATGAAAAAAAGTAGGAATCATAAAAAATATCATTCTCATAAAATAAAGGATGATGGATCTAGAAGTTCAATATGGCTTAAATCTTCTGGCAGCCTTAAGTCTTTCGATCTTTTTCTTATCTTCTTCAAATTTTTTACGTAATTCAACGTGCTCTAGAAGAAGAGAAAAAAAAAAAAGAAGTTAAATTCTAACTTTCAAATTATTCAGCCTTACAATGTATATGTTATTGTTATAATTACTATTTCTTTTAGATTCCCGCATTTGAAAACGATAAAAATCAGGTAGTTCTTTGTTTTTGGGCTTTAAATTTTTTATTTCTTCTGGTTTAGCTGCTGTTACAGTAATAGTACCATCAGTGTTCGCATTTCGCTTCCCCGCCCTAGTAACCGTTATGAAT